TTTTTTTTTTTTTTTTTTTTTTTTTTACACGTTGCGTGCGTTTTTAAACCTTCGAGTTTTTCACGAACGCATAAAAATCCGTCGTCTATTGGTAAATATTCACTGGCCAATAGAGATATTAATCGCCTCTATGTTAAGTATGCAGTGTCATACTTAATATAGGGTGAACAAGGGTAGTGTTACAAATTGTGAATTGGGAATATTCGTCAGTGAAATTTACTTTCTTATATTACTACACTTAATATCTAGTATACAATGCACCGATAAATATACAATATAAATTTGAAATTATGGCAATGACGTCTTACTCTGCTTTGTATTAAGTATTCGATGATATAAATGAACAAAATACATTTGTTAACTATAAATTTGAGATATTTGTCAGAGAAATTCATCTTTCTATTCTGCTTGATACTGACGAGCATGCATCTTTACTAGCGAATAAAGTTTACGTTACAGATAGTAAATTTGAAATATTCGGTGAAATTATTTACTTATACTACTTAGAGCCAAGTGTACGGTAGTATGCTGATGAACAAAGGTATCGATATCAGTTATAAATTTGCAATATTCGTAAAATTTTTTGAGGCTGAAGTTTTTATAACATTACAAGTAGTGAATTTGAAACGCTTGTCAGTGAAATTATTTACTTGTACTACTTGAAAACAAGTACACGCTACAGTACTGAGGAGTAAAAGCGTCGATACTAATTAGAAATTTGAGATATTCATAAAACTCAGATTTTTATCGTATTCAATATGAAAAAATCCACATTGTTATAAACAACAAAAGCTGTAAATTATAATTTAAAATATTCGCCAGAGTCTGAAATCGAGTGAACCAGCATAAAACGGTCCAACGTCAAATGTGAAATATTCTTATCGGTGCATTGTGTCTCTATTTAATTAATTAAATTCGATTGCAACAAGGATCGATGCGATCAACTACGAATCAAAGCTCGACTTTCTTTTATCAAGAAATGCAACAAGTGAATTTGCTTGGCACGAACGATCGTCTACGATATATTGGTATATATTTCGATCAAAGATAGAAAGTAGATAATTACCTTATGACGTTTCTTCTTCGGTGTCATAACGAGCGAGAGTGCCTCGTTCTGTTCCGAGTCCCTGCTTTCTCTCTCGTCGTTCCTCAAGTTACAATATTGGTCGCGTTGTTGCTGCTCTCTCTGTTGATGCTCGCGTTGCTGCTGATGTTGTTGTTGCTGTTGTTGTTGTTGCGCCTGCATAGAGGCCATGCTGTACATGGTCGGGGGTTTCGGCGTCTGAAACATCCTGCTACCGGACCTCACGTGTGAAGGCAGCTGATTCATTTGATTAAGGTTGTTTTCCGTGGGGCCAGAATGAGGACCATGGGGCCCACCACCCATGGACCCGATTTGTGGGAAACCCGTAGACTGTGGAGGTGGGGGCCCGCCATTGTGGGGCCCCCGTGGCCCGTTTGGGCCACCGGGTGGTTGTGGCGCTCCTCTGTCTACTACTTTCGTCCTCGGTGATTTTCTCTCGAGTATTTGGCTCGCCAACAGAAGATCCTTGTTCAATTGCTCGGCAGCGACTTGCGCCGCCTCGCTCTGTTTCCCAAGATACCTCCTCTGTTGCATGAACCTTGTCACTACCTTGTCGATCAGATTCGTCAAGTACGAGGTGATCTCCGCTTTCAACGTGTCCGACAAACTTTGCAGATCTTCGTCGGTTATATGGGGACCGGACGAGCTAGCCGCGGCCGCCGCGCCTCTGAACACGTTTATCCTTTCTTGGAATTCTTTGTGCTGAAGAGGCGTGCTCGCTGACTGCATCTGTGGTGTTTGCGGCGTGGACGGGCCGGTATTGCTTTGACTCTGTTGCTGCGCTTGACTCGGAGGGGGTGGCGGAGAACTTTGTCGTTGATGTTGCTGCTGCTGCTGCTGTTGTTGTTGTTGTTGTTGTTGTTGCTGCTGCTGCTGTTGCCTGACAGCAGCCTCCTGATGCTGCTTCATCCTCTCGAGAGCAGCTTGTTGCTGTTCGAGGTAGAGTTTCTGTCCCATGTGATACATAGCGGCTGCCGCGGCGTGTGGGTGTTCGGTCGGGAGGGCCGGGAGCCCGTTGTACGGCGGTGGATGAGGTTGCGGTGGTTTGAGCGGTGGCTGAGGACTTAGGGGAGCACCGATGCTCTCGCTCGCGTCCGAATCGATTCTACTCGTAAGCTCATTGTACTTTCGCTGCATCACGGCCAATTGTTCGTGCAGCTTCTTCAGCTGTGTCTGAAGGTTGTCCTTTTCCTCGCGTTTCTGCCTGATGGCCGAGGGATCCTCCTCCTCCTCACTCTCTTCCTCGTCGTCCATCATGGTATCGTTGACACTTGTGACGTGCTGAAGAACGTGATGCACCGTTTGCTGCTGCGGCTGGTAGAGTTTACGTTTCTTGCAACCGTTCACCGTGGCAGTTTGAAGCGCTGGACTGCTGCGCATCGTGTTGACGATATTCTCGACACGCGCGCGCTTCGTTTCCGTGGTCGGCGAGCTGGTCTCCGTTTTGGGTACGATCGGGCAAGGAGAGTGACTCGGACTGCGTTTGATATTCAACGAGTCCTGTATCTCCTCCTTGACGGAAACGGACCCTGACCTTGGTTGCGTAGGACTGGGCGGTAAACTCTGTTCGCAATCGGATCCATCGAGATTGGCTCCAGGCTCCATACCAGCTTCGGCGAACGCTTCCTCCATAGCACGTGCAGCTGCGGCTGCGTCCTCGGCGCTGTCCTCCGCGTCGCCCGGCATCACCGTATCACGATCACTGTGATTCGCGTTATTCACGACGTTATTTCCATCACCACTCTCCTCTCCACCACTCTGCACTGTTCCACTACGTGCACTATCACTATTCTGCTGTTGATGCTGTTGAGGGCTCTGATGATGTTGTTGCTGAGATTTAAGTAGATCCGCTGTGGTGTTGTTGTTGTTACTGTGTATACTGTTGTTGTTGTTGGGTTGTTCCTGCAGCGAAAGCGCGGAGATTTTGCGCCCTTGGAGTATATCGCGAAGCATGTGCTGCGTGAGCTCGGCGGTGGCGGGATCGTCGCAATTAACTACAGCACCGGATTGCAAATTGGCAGCGGGGTCCATGCCGGCACCAGTCATCCCGTGGCCGCCCTCTGGCGGTGAGCCACCGGCGTCACTGGCCTGTTTGACCTGTCGTCCGAGTAGCTCGTTCAACATTTTGGCGGGGCCGTAACCCGGTGCCCCGAAAAAGCCGAAAGCCGCGTGGGCGGAATGCTGCTGAGTGCTAGGACCCGTCGTAGCTGTATTTAAATGACCTTGACTGCTTGCTGCTCCAGCTTGTTGCTGCTGGAGCTGTTGTTGTTGCTGTTGCTGTTGGTGTTGCTGCTGTTGTGCTTGCGACTGATGATGTTGCTGCGGCTGTTGTTGCTGTTGTTGCTGCTGTTGTTGATGCGTTGGTCCACTGCCACCAAAGATAGAACCGTACAGACCACCGCCGTGGAAGGATGGCCGGGAGGTGAAGTGCGGTATACTCGAGTAGTTGTTGCGCGGCTCGCCGGCGTCCACGCGCTGTCTGGTGCGCTTCTGCTTCTTCTGGAGTCGCTGTTGCTTGCTTTCCGTAGTTGCTCCGTAGGGGGCGAAATACTCGGTCTCCTCCCCCGATGACATCATCGGCCGTCTGGTTGGTCGGCCCCCCGAAGGCCTCCGCGTCCCCTCCCCGCCAGGGTTCCTTGCCACCCCTCCCCTTCTCGCTCGAATAGCCCCTCGTGGCTCAGCGCGCTGCCTCTGCTTCTCTACTCTACTCTCGTCGTTTCCCCTACCACAGCCGTCTTTTCTCCTCGTTCCTTCTACCACCTTGTCCTCCCCACTCTAAACGCCGGCAGTCTCCCCTCTCTACTTTCTTCGTCTTTGCCGTCTCCTTCTCCTTCTCTTCCTTTTCCTCCTCCACCTCTTTCTCCACCGTCGCGCCTCCGCCGCCGCCTCCTCTTTTTCTTTCTCCTCCTGCTCCTCCTGTTTCTCTGCCGCCGCCGCCGCCGCCG